TGTGTGTGTGTGTGTGTATTATTGTAGTAGTATAAAAGAAGACATGACCTCTTGCTAGCGTGAGGGTTTCTTTACTTAAATGCTTCTGAATGATGACAATGTCAACACAAGCTATCAAATCTTCCTTTACAAATTTGGCTGTACTTGTATAGTTTTACTTTTTTTAAAATGTTTAAAATTATTTTAAATGTTTCTGTATTCTGAATTCTCTTCACACAGCAAATGTAAGAAAAATTGCATTTGATGGAAGGAGATAATGGTAGAATCAATAATCATTTAGACATATTGCTTCCTCCTCTGATGCTGTTTTTGTAAAATAAGCTACTTTTCAGTACCACATTCTGAGATGAATATTTGTGAAGTGCTTTTGATGAGAAAACTAAAGAAATGCTAAATGTTCTCTTGCAAAAAGTTTGTTAGTTTGTTTTGTTTAAATTTGCTGCCCTCTTATGTCAAGTATCCCTAAGTAGTTCATATACTATTTTCAAAAGTTGGAGAAGAGGAATCTCGTCTACTCTGTTCTTTGTATTTTGAAAAGTTCAGTCAAATCCCCTCTATCACATCCCTCCTAAAGTCAGGCTTCAGTTTGTGGCTCATCGTTATGATATGTTAGGCAGTGGCATGTTCCTGGTTTTGCTTACTGGAAATTCCAGCTGCTCTGGTTGTCTTACCATTATCTCTGCCTCTTTTCTTTAAACTGGGAAGACTTACTCCTAGAACCCAGTGATGATACACTGTAAACTAACCAAAACAGCAGTCAGACTAAAGTGAAATTTGCACGTATCTTCTGTGCGGTTTTGTGTATTTTGTTTAGGTTGTTTTCTCTCCCCAACCCCCTCCAGTTTACCTGCTGTTTATTTCATTTTCATTCAACATCTTTTTGTGTTAAAAAAAAAAATTAAACCTTCTCAATTGGTTAGTTCCTCCCTAAGACACCTATTTACAAGTTTAGCCAGTACAGTTTTCAGATGTCTTTTCTATTTTTCTCTTTCTAGATTTAGTGGCTGTTCTGTGTCCAAAAGGCCCACTTCGTATGCTGGTTGAAACTGCTCAGGAGAGAAATGAAACTCTCTTTCCAGCTCTTATTTATTCCTGTAAGTATTTTGGAATGATCTTAAATTAGTGAACAGCTTAGAATTTATAGAGATGCAAACACATGTAATTGTGGTCTTTATCATGATGCTTGTCTTCAGTACATAACATTAATAGAACTATGGCTACTCTGTTTCCTTGCAAATGATTGTCTTTTGCCTAACATTGGTTCAAGAGCGTTTTCAGTATGTATAGAGATAGAAGAAATATTTAGAGATTGGGGAGCCAGTATTCTTATTTAAAATCTTATTAGTCAAGAGTTATTGAGTACCTGTTACATACATATATTGCAGGTGAATTTGCATTAGCTTGTTGAAAGAATTGTACTATTCATTCAGAATATGTTTGCCCTTTTTTTGTTTTAAAGTCAGATATTTACTGGGCATCAGCCTGATCTGCTCCCCAGAGCACTGTGGAGGACGAAAGGATGACTAAGATACTTTGACTTCCGTCAGAGCTCATTTGCTTACAGTTTAGAGGTCAAATAAGACAAGTATACAGCTAAGCAGCATTCAAGGCAGAATGTTATCACATTCAGAAGAAACACAATCAAAATGCAGAAAGAGTTCAAAATAGGGAAAATCTGGCTGGAGAAGACTTTGTGGAAGAGACAGCATTTGGACTGAACCTTTTAAGGGTGGGTGGGATTTCAGTAAGCACAGATGGAAGAGTCAGTTCCAGAAATGGTCTTGTCACAAAGACTGGCTTAGAGACATAAGTGTGGGCAGTCTTTATCAAATTTCAAGTGTTCAGCTTGACTAGAGCATGGAGTACAGAATGGAGCAAGTACTAGGAGATGAGTTTGGAAAGGGCAGATTAGGGCAAGATCAAGAATAGCTTTGAGTGACTGGTTTAGATCTCTGTATGCTATTCATGACTGCTTGGGAATCATAGAAGGTTCTTGAATAGGAGACTAATGTGATCAGAGATGTGCCTTTGGAAGCTTGCAACATGATGTGAGATGAACGGCAGCAGGTGGGAACTGAGATAATGGGAATTATAAATAAGCAGATGTTGCCATGATCTAAGTAGAAAATACTGAGGGTCTGAGTTACGGTATTGGTAATGGCAGTCAAGGCAAAGGCCTGATGAGAGTTTCTGGAGGTAGCATCAGTAGTTTCCAACTACTAAGAGTTTAAAGCCTGAAGGAAGGATGATAAAGTAGAGATGTTTTTCTTATTGGAGAAATCTATGGTGTTGCCTGTGGCCCATATCTAATTTTGTTGGCAGGACTTGTGAGCCATCCATGTAGAAATTTCCAGCAAGAGTTTACAAGTGAAGTACCAGTGCATAGGAAAAGATAAAGGAAAATGATAGAGACGCAAAACTGAAGAACATGGTAGACACGGCTGCGGGAGTGGATGAGTGATTCAAGTAAAAAGAGGAGAGGAGGCCAAGGACAGATCTTCATCAACTACTGTGTTTAGAGAGTGAGAAAATGGAGAGAGAAAATAATAAAGGGAACAGAAGAAATTATCAGAAAATTGGGAAAGCCAGCATTTTTCACTTAGCAATATCATGATTGTTTTTCATATCAGTACATGAAATACCAGTTAACTAATAACTGTTAGTGATTAGACTTCTTTGTGTATTTTTTTAGCCACACCTTTAAATTTCTTGTTTTATGACTGGCTTGGTATAATATTCTTTTCCATATTTTCAGAATTAATTTTTAATTATGCAAGTAATACATTAATGCATTATCCTTGAAACAAATTTTTAAATTACAGATGAAGTTAAATTTCACTATAATTGTCATCCACAATCTTAATACCTTACCAAGCATTTACTTACCACTGTTATCAGTTTAATATATATCCTTGTGGACTTTTTGCCTTTTTGCCTTTTCTGTTGAGTTATTGAAAAAGCAGAGTTTCCAGAAGGAGAAAATGTCAGATGCTATAAAGAAGTCAAAGATAATGAGGACTAAGTAAACCATATAGAATTTGGTGTTTAAGACATCGTTAGTGATATTTAAATGAGCAATTTGAATAGAATGATAGGACAAAAGCAATATTCCAATGGGAGGAAAGTGTGCATCTCACTGGGTTGATAGGGGGTGTGTCTGACTGTCTGGGTTTTGCTCCTACTGGCACTGGCAATGGAAGTGATACAGCGGACAGAGAATGAGTGGTGAAGGAAAGGTAAGTTTTATGTATTACTTTAAAGATTCCTGTCTCATAGGCAGAGCACTGGTGACTTAAGAAAGCAGTTTTGGGGAAAGGTGTTTCGGGAGAGAGAAGATTTAGTCATGTTTCTAAGGTTCAGGGAAAGGAGCAAATAGAGAAAGGCTTTGAAGAGTCCAGCAAGAAGACAATTCTTTATAATAATTATTATAGTATGTAATTATAATAAATAATGTAATTACTGGAGCAAAGTAATAAACGAAGCAGGTAAAAATTGCTCTAAGAGTTCAGGAAGAGAAATTAGATGAGAACAGAGGAAAGACCTGGAAGGAAGGAAAAGGAAGACAAAAGCAGAAGATAGTGAGATGTAGAGAGAGGTCAAGTTGGGAGTACATGTTAGTTGACTCAGTCTTTCTTGTGAATTTGATGTTAAAGCATCTATGGGACTTGGAGAGGGTAGGGATTGTGCTTGTAGCTAGAGATGTCTGGAAAAGTTTTAGAACACCCAGTGTCTGAAATGCAAGAACATTTCTCTTACTTTTTTTCCAAGATAAATTTATTATATCACATGCTTACTGTGTTTTTCGGCAGAAAAGAACAGATGAGGTTCGTTTGTTTTAATTTTGTTGGGGGGAAGTATTTAGGTTTATTTAATTTTTAATGGAGATGCTGGGGATTAAACCCAGGACCTCGTGCATTCTAGGCATGCCCTCTGCCATTGAGGTATACCCACACCCTCAGATGAGGTTTTAAGCATCAGCATTTTCCTCTTAATGAGCATTTGGGTATGAGCTTTTTCTGTGTTATCCCTGGAAATTAAAATTTATTTATTTTGTATTTGTGCATACAGAATGTTACACCAAATGTTAATAGTGAACGCTAGGAATTTAAACTAAGGTATATATTGTAAAAATATAGAAAGATGTTCACAGAAGCAATGGTTATATTAAGAAAAAGATGGAAATAACCTGTGCCTGTCAAAGGGGACACTTTCAAATGATTATGCTACATTTGTACAATGGCTAGTTGTGTAGCCATTTAAAAGAATGAAGTAGCTATATATATGTTCAGTTTTTTTTAATGTCAGATTATATATTAACTACAAAAATCAAGATTTAAAACAATTCATGCAATATCCTATGGAAGGAGTGGGAGAAAGGAGCTGTATATAGATGTGTGTGTATATGTATAAAATCCCAATAATACATTTAAAAGCTGATAATATATTAATAGTGGGATTTAGAGATTGAGACAACTTTTACACTTTTCCTTGTATCATTCTCTACTTGTAGGGTTTTAACTGTACTGTATACTTTTTTAAAAGTTAATTGTGCATGTGAAAGTGAAAGGATTGTGAGTTTTACAATTTTTCTTAGTTTTAGGATTTTACATTGTTCTACTATTGTGTCTCTTGTTAGTACCACAATAATGCTGTGTAACAAACCACCTCAGAACTCAGTGCCTTAAAAATGTAATGATTTACCATCACTCCGGCATCTGCAGGTCAGTTGACCCTGCTGATCTGTCTTGGCTGTGGCAGCTCTGCTACATGTGTTCCCCCATCCTCTCTGGACCAACGGGTTAGCTGAAGACTTGTTCTTCTGGTGTCTAGGGGAACAGCAGATCAGCAGGCCTTCTGAGGCCTGGGCTCAGTATTAGTCCCCTGTCACCTCTGCCCACATGCCCTTTATTGACACGAGTCACATAGCTGAGCCCCTGGTCAGGAGGAGGAAGACTACGTTCCAGTCACGATGGGGCCACAGCAAGAGTGTGAGTGCATGAAGGGTGAAGAAGGGGTCTTTCAGTCTGCCACAACATTAACGTGTATGTTAATTTTATACTCAAGAAAAAGTATTTACTCTATTTTTTAAAAAATCATTCATATATAACATCTTTTAAAACTCAAGTCTGTATAACATTTGATATTCTGAGATATTTTTGTAGTAATTCCACATATATGGGGAAAGTATGAGCATAAACCTTTACCTCCTGCGTAGATGAAATATGTTCAAGAAAGTATCTGTTCTCATGAAATACTGAATCTTTCGTGAGGATTTTATAAATCACTGAGCTTGAGAGTTTTTTTTTTTAACAAAATAGACAAAAATAGCAATATTAATCAGTACTTTTCCCCTGAAATGAATATAATCATGAATAGGTAAAGTTTTAAGTCAGTCCTCTCAGCTATTTGTCCTTTAAAAATACAATCCTTTTATACATTTGTATACTCTTCCCCAGTTAAGGAAGGGTATTCAGTTTGCAAAAGGATCTCACCCTCAGGCATTTTTGTGAGCATTTTTGTTGGTTTTCTATGTCCTGTGTTCTGACAGGAAAAATGGACACCTACCCTCTGAACTAAATCATTCTTCCCTGGTAGTGACCTACTTTGGTAGCTTATCAAAGAACAAAAGTAACAATTCATTGAGGTCAACTATTTTATGTAAAGTTTTTCTCTGACTTCATATCAGTTTGGAAAATTTTTAGATTATGTTTATTTTTAACTGGCATGTTTTTCTGTTGATCTAAGATGTTCAGTGTTAAGTTGAAAGCTCAGAAAGTGGGGTTTTTAGATATTACTATAGTAATATTAATTCGTTCAACAAATACATATTCTGCTCATGATAATTTACATACTACCTATAGCTAGATCTGGCCCTTGGCCTGTTTTTATACAGCCCTATAAGCTGAGAGTGGTTGTTGCATCTTTAAAGAGCTAATAAAAAAGAAAAGAACAAAGAAGAATTTTGTGACAGAGACCAGATGTGACCCACAAGCCTGAAATCTTTACTTTCTGGCTCTTTACAGAAAAAGTTTGCTGACTTCTGACTTCCATGGTAATATTAAGTGTTAAAATAAAAAATTTTGTAGCTTTTTTTCCCCTATATTTACATTTAAAAAAAAGTCAAATAAATAACCTGCTGCCTTCATTACCAAGAACGCTACAGAAACCTTGTACATGGTGGTTGTCTTTCTGTTTCCCTTTCATTGGGTTTGAATTTAGTTGACAGTGAACCGCCTGCCTGGCTTACATTGGCTTTGCTCAGTTATTCTGGTTATCGTATAATGAGACTTGTTTGACTTCAGAATTACAAAGCTATGAATGAGTAAGTGCAGCTATTACAGGATTTTCATCCTCTGTTGTTGTGTTACTCATAAGTTTTTCAAGAAGCCTTTGAGTATTAGGAAAATGGATATGAGCCCTAGTTTGTCCTCTAATGTAGTTATAAAAAGTAATTTGTATCAGTGAATTCATACTACTTTAGGATTTCAGCTAGTCCAGCTGTGGTTTCAGTATAGGCTTGCTGGCCTGAACAGTTTTCCTCCTGGTTACTTTTCAGGGGCTATAAATGACAATGAACGATTCTATAGTGGCAGCTGCAGTTTGAATGTTGCAGTAAACATTTTTCTTTTATCTGTGAAAATCAGAAAGAACCTTTTATGGTTGTTAATATAGATTTACTTCTGATTGTTAAGGATTCTTAAGGTGACATTAAGAAGATTGGTGATTAGTATGGAGAAATAATGACCTGCTATCTATTCGTAAGCTTTCCTTCTGTGTTTCCAGTGCTTACCTGTACTTTTGTCTTTCTCAACAGCAACAATGGTATGGTTGGTGAATATGGCAGAAGGAGACCCAGAAGCCCAAAGGAAGGTATCCAAAAACACCAGTTACAATGCACAAAGTAGGTGACTTTTATTCGTTAATTCCCTGGTTTTGGGGGTCATTGTCATCTTGTAGGCTGATGATGGATTATAAAGCAATGGTTTTTAACTGCTTTCTTTGGTCATGTACCAAAGAATACCCAGCAAACACAGATAAATATTTGAGGAGTTCAAGTGCTCCAAACCCAGTAGTGCAGCCAAGGTACCCTAGGTTAAGAATTTCTGCCATTGAGCACCATTAATACCAGTCTGGAAATGTTTCAGTTGAGGCTGTGATTTTAAAAAGTAAAATAGGCACTCTCTTCAAACCTGTATAAAAATGAGAAGCTCTTGTTTGACAAGGCCAGAGTAACTTGAATATAATATGATTTGCAATATTACAATGTTTATGCCGAGAAGATAAAATATTCCAGGTGGACGTGACTTTCTGGAAGAGGATAATAATGGTGACTGGTGACCTAGGATGGGAGACTGAAAGGCTCACTTGTGGATACTACAGAGACTTTACGGTGAACACACGTTAGGAGGAGTTATTAGGAAGAGTTGAGGAAACAGCACAATATCAATAGCCAAGAAGAAAGGAAACTTTTTTTTAAAGGAAAACAAAGGGCTAACCTTATGAGAAAGCTAAAAAACAGAGATAGAATAAAGGTTAGTCAGAGAAGAAAAAAGGGCCTTCATTGAGTTGCTATTTGTCAGGAAAGGGAGAGTTAAGGTTTTATAGAGCCAAGAAAACTGCTGATTTAGCATTTGAGTCACCACGAGAAGGACACTTTGAACTGGAAATTCATATTGGGGACCCAAAAATATTAGACCCATTCTGCAGTGAGCGAGGCATTAGACCAGTGTAGACCTAGGAGACAGTTGCCACAAGTCTGGTTGTTGTGTTAAACTAAAAGAAATTAAAAGGTTGGTTATCTATGAGTACATATGTATATATATATGAGTTTGTGTTTTTAGTGCATCATGATTTTATTTTTTTGACAAATTTTGATCGAGCGCCTAATTATGTGCCTGGTGTTTTGTTAGGCACTTGGGCACTTAGCACTGCATGCAATATCCCATACCTGTGGAGCTTATGTTATAGCCTGTTTGGGGAGAAACACATGTTCAACAAATAATTCCACAGGTAATTCATACAGTTTGTGATAAGCACTACAAAGGAGAAGTGTCAGTTGCTGTGAAAGTTTATAGTAGAGGAGTTTCATTTATTCCGGAAAGTCAGGAAGGCTTCCCTGAGGAAGTGACAGTAGGAGATGGCCAGTGAAGAGTGGAAGGAGAGCTTTCCAGAAGCGGAAGCAGTGTGGGCAAGGGCCTTGAAGTGAGAAGGGGCTGGATGAAGCGCAGAGCCCTCAGTGGGAGTGCGGCTGGTATTTCAGGTGGGCGATCTTCACTGCGGGACTTCCCCTCACGGCACAGAATGTCCAGCATTCGTGGCCCCTCACCCACTAAATGCCAATGGTGGCTTTGAGGTTGCAGTAACCAGAAACCCCTCCATCCTAGTTATTTCCAAACACTCCATGGATGGGAGGTATTCTTTGAAAACCACTGTATTAAAGGAACTATAAGTTTGATTGGAACAAAGGCTGTAGGATTCCAAGAGGGATGTCTGTAAAGGAAAAAATAGTAGAACTCAGAGGTTATCTGAGCAAGTGCCTAAAATAAAAACATCAAGATATAGCACTATGAGCATGTTAATTATAATTAAATGTGGAGGTAAATACCAAAAGAAATAACTGAAAGGGTTGAAGGTAGGGTGAGGATTGGGAGTGAGGAAGGCATAGGGCAGAGCAGGGACTGCTGTTTTCATTTCTAAATCTTATGCTTTTATGATTTTATAAACTCTGACCCAGGGAAGATTTAGGTTTTGTGGAGATCTGGTTAAGAAAAAAATACAAAGACAAAACTGCTAGAGCCCCTCCCAGAAAAAAAAAATCCATATAAGTGAGAGGCCTGAAGCTTACATGCTCTCATGGTGAATGAATAAATATGAACATATATTACTTTTATAAAAAAAAAAGCTTTACTTACATATTTTAATTATCCTTGATGTATGGAAAGTTCTCGAGACAGTCATGTTATGCTCAGAGTTTTCAGTCAGACTGAGACATTATAACAAAATGAGTAGCCCATAAAAAAATTCACTCCCTCCTTTCCCCTCCTCCCACCACCCAGTAGTGGTCCACTTTTGTAACTTAGTCACTAAAGCCAGTGGTGAGTGCCGTCAGCTGCAAAGATCAGAAGAAATGTCTTCTCACATGAGCCAGAGTCTGAGGTGTAGGCATTTGTACGGCTGGCTAATTTTATCACTCATTGATACTATCAAGGGCCCAAGTTCTTTCTGTTTTCCTGCTCTGCCATCCTTAAATATGGGCTTGGTCCTCCCACTGCTCCTCATAGTCACAAGATGACAACTAGAGTTCTAGGCATCATACCCAGATGACACAACACCCAGGGGAAGAAAAGGACTGTTTGTGTCTTCCTAAGTCTCTCTTGAAGAGTGAGAAACATTTCTCCCAAGTTTCCAGCAGACTTTGCCTTATCACACATCGACTAGTCCCAACCCCACAGCCTTAGAGCTTCTCCTTGGGAGGAAGAATGGTGGGATGTCCGTGCTTCAGCTCGGATTGGTGAGGGTTTACCCCAGAGTCATGTGGCTGAGAGGTGGGCACCCAAGTACATCAGGACTCTGCTCTCAGGAAATAAGGGGAGAAATGGCTTTTGGGGAAGCAACCAACAGGTGCTGCTGCAGCCCACAATTTGTGGTTTAAGAATCAGCGAACCCACTTGGTTACAATGACAGGTAATTACTGTTTCCATGCAGTTTTATTACAGGTATTAAGAAATTTTTCTAGTACTACAACTGTGATTTCCACTTTTTCTCAAAGGCACAGAAAGTGAGTCCCAAGACCCTGTGACAGAGAGTGATGACGGTGGCTTCAGTGAAGAGTGGGAAGCCCAGAGGGACAGTCGCCTAGGGCCTCATCACTCTACACCAGAGTCTCGGTCTGCTGTGCAGGAACTTTCCAGCAGCATCCTAGCCAGTGAGGACCCAGAGGAAAGTACGTGCATTTCTCTACATTGGAAAGTCATGAATTCCTTTAGGTGCTGCATGGTCAAACTCTCCCCAAATAAAACGAATCAAAGTGGTTCAGTCTAAGTGCAGCTTTTAGTGGCAAATAACAATAGTTGGTGCTTTTTCATAATTAAATTTGTTAATGGGCCAAATTCTGCCCCTCAGATTTTTAAAATTACCTCTCTACAGCCTGATCTTTGGCATTTGTTTTATAAGGCAAAAGATTTTGTAAATATTATTATTCTGGTTAGACAGCATGTGTACAAAAATTTCATTAATATATTTCACTCTTCGCTGCACAGAGACCTATGGATTTAAATGTTTCGACCTTTTACATTATTATTCGTGTTGTTGGCAAGTACTATATTAATTTTAAAGAAAATCAAAGGGATTTAGGTTCTGTGCAGAAATATAAGAGTTTCTTCAGTGTCTGAGGTGTGTTGTCACTTGGATTTAGGTTCTGTGCAGAAATATAAGAGTTTCTTCAGTGTCTGAGGTGTGTTGTCACTTAGATTCAGGTCAGCACCTGAGGCTTTTTAGGCTGTTAGCCATAGTTCAGGCTCAGCCATCTCTTCATTTAGTCTTAAAGAGTTAAAAACTCTCTAACTAAGAGATAAGCATATTTCCCAAATAAATTATCCTCAATTGTTTCATTTTCACAAAAGTGAAACTTTTGATTAAAACATTAGAGCAAATATGTTAAGTAGTTTCAAAGAAACAAAACACCTAGATTCCTTAGCTTCTCTAATCACTTTTTTTTTTTTTATGGAGGTACTGGGGATTGAACCTGGGACCTCCTGCGTGCTAAGCATGCGCTCCTCCACTGAGTAACTCCCACCCACCTCTAATCACTGTTAATTGTGACCTTGCATTATCCTTCAGCTTGAGCAGAACACTTCTTACAGCTCATCCTTAGTCTTTTACCTGGATCAGAACCTGGGCATATCCATGACTCTGGAGCTGGGTGAGTTTTCCAGATGTTAGAGCCAGCTGTAGCCTGCTACTTTCGCACTTCTGGGAAACCAGACACAGTGGCCTCCCCTTGCAGCCAGGCTCGAGCTTGCCTTGGCTGGTGTTTTCTCCGCGTGCAAAGTTACCACTGTAACTAGGTTGCCTCTCCTGTTCCTCTCCTCTTTTCTCAAGGTGTGTAGAGCCAAAAGACAGCAGTAAAGTAGCTGCTGAGCATAGCAGCAGCATAATTCTCCGTGACTGCCTTTCTGTCCTGAAGATTCTCCTGAGCATCTCTTCATGTCCTTGTCTTCATCTCTAACCTTTTTTTTTCTTTTTTAAGGAAGACCCAAATGTTGCCTCTTCCAACTTCAGATTAATATTTTCTTTATCTGGGACCAATATAAACTAATAATTGGCATTCTTTCCTCATCTTAGCATCCAACACGCACATTAACCATCTCTGACTACATTAGTGTTTTAAACAAGGCTTCTGTTTACATACAGAAAAGTCTCAGTTACACTAGAATTTGATATATAAGTCACATGTGTCTTCCAGAACAGTCTTTTAAAAACCAGAATTTAATCAGAAAGCTGGACACAGTTTTTAACTAGAAATGTAAACCATATTTATTCAGTGTGCAGTTGGTCTCCTAGTGCATTTCAAAATATACTTCTTTCAGACATCATGCCAATGACAAGCTTGTCCTGAGTGTACCACTGATAGATTAAACATTTATCAGAGTAGTGAAATTAACCTGTTATTTCCAGGAGTGGAAATTAGACTTATAGAGGTTCTTTTTCTATAACCTCTATGGAAGAGTGGGAAATAGATTTTGCTATTTACTTCTAGTGGAGGAGGAGATTTTAGCAGTAAAGAGGTAAAAAAAACATTTCAAGAAGCTTTTTGTATGTTTATGTAAAAGATGATAGGAAATATTCATTATTTTCATGTTACTGTAACATTTAATCTAGGCATCTATTCTGCCAGGGGTCGTTCAGCAAAATCTTTTAAGAAAATATTCACCATCATTTATTATCTTCACCATGTCTTGTGTTTGGTATACCTGCAAATGCCCCTTTTAATATTAAAGGAGCACCATAATTACTTAAAATTATTTTTCAGAGTTGGCAGAAACAAAACAAAACAGTAATAGACCTACATTACCATTAGCAAATAGCAGTAAAATAACCAGCAGCCAATCTCAGCATTAGCACTTGGCAGTGGAATGCTGTTAATTCACTATGTCTAAATTCAGCAGTTTCCATTGCTGTAATTTTAGTTGTTTGGCCATAGCATATTTTCATTGAATAAATCAAAGAAGCTATTTAAAGAAAACAGATTCCTGAGCAACATGATTTTTCTTAGGTTTTATAAACTGATTCAGTCGGTCTCTTCTGGTTGTGAAATAAAACTTGTTGCTTCAGTAAGTGCCTAAAGAAAAAAATGGTGGTTACTTCTTTGTTTTTTGACTCTATTTTAATTTTGCTAATTAAATATGTCTCTATTTCTCTCTCCATTAAAATGAATTCTGTGAAGTATAACTATAGCATTTGCCATAATATTGCTATTATTTAAGCAAACGTAAGTTTTTAAATGAAAGAAACATGAGGCCATTAGTTTAAAGCTTGATTCAATACATTATTTTTATTTTTTGATACCTCTGTTGAGACATAATTCACACACTATACAATTCACCCATTTAAAGCGGTAGCTTTAGTATATTCACAGAATTGTTCAAATATCACCACAATTAATTTTAAAAGTTTCATTACCGCAAAAAGAAACCTCACACTCCTTAAACTGTCACCTCTCCAGGCCCTCTCATCCCTCTTCCCCCTATTTAAAGTGTACAATGCAGTAGTTTTTATTATATTCACAGAGTTGTGCAACCATCATCACAAGCTAATGTTAGAATATTTTCATCACCTCAGAAAAAAAGCCTGTACCCATTAATCCTCATGCCTCCCAAAACCAGCTAAGAAACTATCTTAATAGATTTGCCTCTTCTGGACATTTCATATAAATGGAATCATACAATATATGGTTCTTTGTACTGACTTCTTTCATTATGTTTTCAAGTTTCACGTGTGTTGTAGCATGTATTAGTACTCATTTCTTTTTATAGCTAAATAATATTCCATTGTACGAATATATCACATTAATCATCCATTCATCAGTTAATAGACATCTAGATTGTTTCCACTTTGGGCTACTATACATAGTGTTGCTGATAACATTCATATATACCTTTGTGTGGATGTATGTTTTTATTTCTCTTGGGTATATATACCTACGAGTAGAAATGCTGGGTCATGTGGTAACTCTGTGTTTAACTTTTTGAGAAACTACCACACTATTTTCCAAAGTGTCTGCACCACATTCCCACCAGCAGTGTGTCAGTGTTCCAATTTTCCACATCCTCACCAACACTTGTTATTTTGCGTCTTTTTGATTATAGTCATTCTAGTAGGTATAAAGTTGTATCTCATCGTGGGTTTGATATGCATTTCCCTAATGATTAATAATGTTGAGTATCTTTTTGTGTGCTTTTTGGTCATTTGTACATTTTCTTTGGGGAACTTTCCAGATCCTTTGCCCATTTTTTATTTATCTTTTTTATCATTGAATTGTAATAGTTCTTTATGTATTTCTTATCAGATAAATGTAGAATTTTTCTCCTGCATTATTTTTAAAAATTCATTTCTGTAGCTTTTTTTCTCAAAGAACTTAGTTTCTCATAGCTCTTAATATTTGGAATCAAAAGTCTTTCTAAGGCTATCATTTGTTTATTCTCTTGGTGTGCCAAGAACTTTCCCTGTATTATTTTTAATTCTCAACAATCCTGTGAAATCTCTCTGTAATCCCCATCTTACAGCTGAGGAATTTGGGAGTTAAAGAAGTAAATCAGCTTGCCCTGGATCACCCAAGTAACTAAATAGTAGAGCTGGGCTCTTTAGCACGCCTGAAACTGGTGAAAATATTTGTCAGTCTGGGAAGGTTGGCAAGTTAAAGGGTAACTGACCGTGTAATTCATAGCATCAGATTTCATGTGTCATATGTTAACTTTTTTCTATTAAGGAAGACTTCACTGTGGCTTCCCAGGATTTAAGAAGAACACTGAGGGGGGAGGGTATAGCTGAGTGGTGGGGTGTGTGCATATATGCACGAGGTCCTGGGTTCAATCCCCAGTACCACCTATCCAATCAGTCAGTCAACCAGCCGACCAACCAACCAACCACCCTCACAAACAAAAATAAAAAGAACACTGGTTTCTCAGTAAGATCTTACTAACCAGCACGCTGTTCCTTTCTCCTGCACATGTGGAGCAGACCGTGCTTCTCAGGGCCCTCAACCCCTATCTTCCAGAAGTGGTTTCTCTAACCCAGGCAACAAAACTTTAAGACCAGGATCAAACTTCAGTTGGGAGTAGTTACTTAACAACCAGAAAGTTGAAAGCCAGTTGTAAAGCTTTATGGGTTACTGTTGGACCCCAAGTGAAAGCATATTTTTTAATCTGTAGTTTAGCCTTTGGTTGATTATTTATCACTTTAAAAAAACTTGAAAGGTTAAAAATAATGTTTAACAACAGAAAACCTAGGACCTTTGCATTTCTGTGTAAGTGTTAAGATCAGCTTGTCAATTTCTACAAGCTGATTAAAATTTATTTGGAAATGTAAAGAACTTAGAATACCCAAGACAGTTTTGAAAGAGAAGAAAAAAGTTGGTGGACTTACACCATTTGATTTCAAAACTTACTCTACAGCCATAGTAATCAAGACAGGCACAAGGACAGGCACATAAATCAGTAAAACAGAACTGTGAGTTCAGAAACACACCCTGACATTTATGGTCAATGATTTTTTACAAAGGTGCTAAAATAACTCAGTGGGGAAAGGATATAATCTTTTCAACAAATAGTGCTGGGACAGCTGAATATCCACATGCTAAAGAATGGACAGAAACCCCTACCTCACCCTGTCCATCATGCACAGTCAAAAATTAACTCAAAGTGGATCACAAACTGAAATGTAAGTGGTAAAACTATAAAACTTCTAGAAGAAAACACAGAAGAAAAACTTCACAGCCCTGGGTTGGGCAAAGAGTTCCTTAATATAGCACTGATACATAGAAGAAGAAAATCAATAGATTGGACTTTGTCAAAATTAAAAACTTTCACACTTCAAAAGATATCGTTAAGATACCGTTTCACAATAGCCATGAGGTGGAAACAACTGAAGTATCCACTGACAGATGACTGGGTAAATAAAATGTGTATACACACAGTGGAACATTATTCAGCTTTAAAAAGAAAAGAAATTCTGACACGTGCCACAGCATGAATGAGCCAGGACATTATGCTAAGTGAAAAAGCCAGTCACAATAAGACAAATACTGTATGATTCCACTTAAGTGAAGTACGTAGAATGGTCAAACTCAGAGACAGAGAGTAGAATGGTGTTTCCAGGGGCTGGAGGGAGGGAGAAAGGAGGAGTTACTGTTTAATGGGTACAGAGTTGCAGTTTTGCAAGCTGAAAAGAGTTCTGTGGATAGGTGGTAGTGATGGTAGGACAATAATGTGAATGTACTTAATGCCATTGAACTGTGTATTTTACCACAATTAAAAAAAAAAACAACTATTTTACCACAATTAAGGAAAGCAGACGAAGCCAAAGACTGAAAGAAAATATTTGCAAATCATGGTGCAAGCCCTGTTTGGAGAATTTGTAGTTAAGTTATGTAAAGAATGTTTACCACTCAATAATAGGAAGATAATCCTATTATTGGATTATAGGGAAAACTTTGGATAGACATTTCCCCAAAGGAGAAATATAATGGCTAATAAGCACATGAAAAGATACTCAATGTCATGAATCAGAATGGCTCCAATCAAATAGACAGCAATGCTAAGTGCTGCTGAGGATTTAAGAAACCGGAACCTTCATGCGTTGCTGGTGAGAATGTAAACTGGGACAGCCAGCATGGAAGACAATTTGACAGCTTCTTTAAAAGCTAAACATAAACTTACCATATAACCGAGCAGTTCCACTCCTAGGAATCTCCCGGATGGAAATGGAAACAACCTATTCACACAAAGATGTACATACTGATGTTCACAGCTGCATTATTCTTAATAGCCCGTAACTGAAAACAATCTTAACAAAATATAGTATATCCATACAATGGAAAGCTTTTCATCAGTAAAAAGGAACAAACTACAGACACATGCAATATCGTGGGTAAACCTCAAAAATATTATGTTAAGTGAAAGAAGCCAGTGACAAAAGACTTCACATATATTGTGTGAGTCCATTTCTATGCAACGTCTAGAAAAGGCAAATTGATAGAAATAGAAAGCAGGTCTGTGGTTGCTTAAGACCTGGGATGTGATGGGGATTAACTATAAATGGGCACAAGTTATTTTAGTGGGGTGGTGGAAATGTGGATTGGGGTGATGGGTTATTGAATTGTACATTTTACAGTGGGTGAATTTTATGAAATACCTCAGTAAAGCTGTTTTCTGAAAAAAGGAGGTAAATGCCTATCTTGTGAGGATTCATTAAAACAGCTGGCAGGTATAAACTAGGCATTCAACAGATACTATTTATTGTTATTTTTTGATATATAACAGCAGCATCTACTGTTAAAAGACTCCAGAGTCAGCCACATAGCATCTGAACCTCCTGTTACAGAAATCAAAAAAAACGAAGAAAGGGAAAACCCAGCTAAAGCCTAATTTTGTATGATATCATTTACTGACTTCTCATTCAGCGTAGGATGGAGTGGGGGCAGTGATATTTTTAAATTGTGAAATCATAGCAAAGAGTGACAAACTTTTATAATCTTTCCTTTTTAGGGGGAGTAAAACTTGGATTAGGAGATTTCATTTTCTACAGTGTTCTGGTTGGTAAAGCTTCCGCAACAGCCAGTGGGGACTGGAACACAACCATAGCCTGTTTTGTAGCCATATTAATTGTAAGTATACACTGTGAAAATGTGTTGAAACTCCTCATCTCAAAACTGATTAAAAGGTGGTCCTTTTAACCCCAGCTAGGCTGAGTATTCCAGTCACCTGGGGGGCTTTTTAAAAACACAAATAATTGGATCTCACCTGTGTAGTTCTTCACCTGGCCACATACTAAAATCCCCTGAAAGCTTTTAGAACTGTCTCCACCCTGAGATATTCTTATATAATTTGTTTTAATTGTGCATTTTTTAACATTTTTTATTGATTTATAATCATTTTACAATGTTGTGTCAAATACCAGTGTACAGCACAATTTTTCAGTTATAGATGAACATATATAATTGTGTATTTTTTTAAGGGTCCCCAGGAAATTCTGGCAAGTACCTCTGCCTAGGAACCAGTGCTTCAAGCTTGGCAGCGTAAATGATGTGAGGAATTGCTGTGCTAGCTAAGTCTTAGTGGGGTGGGCAGATGCTCACACAGTCTGACATTGGTGGTGGTTTTGTGTTTAAGGCCACAACCTGCAGCACGCAGTGTTCCTTGGGGCAGCAAGTATGAGGCAAGAAAAGCTAACACAGTGCATGGTCCTACAAAGATTTTGCTAATGGTGTCACAGCGTGAAGCAGAAGCTTTCAGAGCTGTGATTGATTTAAGTAAATAAGTCATATTTCTTATTGCTATTTTTGCTAAAGATGTGATATCTTTGATATATGTGAAGTCAGATGAGAGCTTAGACAAGAGCCTTTACGTATGCATTTATTTTGTGATTACATTTGCGATTTATACTTGGTAATATGACAAGTTACAATTTTCATTTATTTTATTTCTCTTTTGATATTAGTGTTCTGGATGTTGTATTTTTTAAGAAGAAAATTACTTATTGTGGATAAACCTGAAATGAAGTTCAGCCTCCAGACTGTATAGTCAGTATCTCAGTAACTAGGGTGAAAAAATGGACTGTATTATCTGGCTGCTCTGTGATTACAAGAAAGCAGTATACACTTTCTAAACAGCTTTTATTGGTTTATTCCATGAGCACCTCTTTGTCCCTACGCACCATAAAAAATGTTCTTCGCTTCTGGGATTTAAGTTAGTCAAACTAAACTTATAGTAGCCAACTCAATATTTTAGATAGAAATTTCAGTATTGTTTAATTGTTTTCAAAAATAACTTTACTTATTTTCAGATTCTATTCCCTACCTAAAATTAGAGGATGAAATATGAACAACGTATGCATGATGAACTCTGTTGCAAAGGAAAATAATTGTTTCTAGATTTAATGAAAAAAAATTTGTTCTAAAATTAAAACTCAAAGGATCGTATTCAGTTAACCAAATTAAAACCAAGACTTGTGATTGTTTCTTGTGCACAAAATGCTTGCATAATCATGTCTGCGTTTGTGTCTTTCCCCCTCTTCTCCATAGGGTTTGTGCCTTACCTTACTGCTCCTCGCCATTTTCAAGAAAGCATTGCCAGCTCTTCCAATCTCTATCACCTTTGGGCTTGTTTTCTACTTTGCCACAGATTATCTCGTGCAGCCCTTTATGGACCAGTTAGCATTCCATCAATTTTATATCTAGCATATTTGCAGTTAGAATCTCATGGATTTTTCTCCTTTAACTATAATAAAATCGGGGGAGGACAAAGGTGATTTTCCTGTGTCCACATCTAACAAAGTCAAGATTCCCAGCTGGACTTTTTACAGCTTCCTTCCAAGTCTTCCTGACCACCTGCACTCTTGGGCGTTGGAAGGAGATGTCTACAGAAAATGATTTTGAATATAAGTCCTTGTGACCGAGTCCCTCAGTGCAAAAACTACCAGATTTGAGGGACAAGGACAAGGAAAAGTGACGGGCCAACAAGTGGCTGTGCTGCCATCAGCAGTTTGACCCACAGTCGCAGGTGGACTTTACCAACACTGCAGACTCTCAGGACTACCATTACCAGGAGTTAAATGAAATGATTTAAACCAAACAAGACTCTTCATCTTAAACTACATGTTGAAAGCCAACCTAATAAATCTGTATTGAATTCTGAACCTTTTCAGGAGATACTGTGAGGAGAGCAGGCACCAGCCGCAAAATGAAAAGATGGAAAGGGGCTCAAACTTTCAGACTCTTTTGCTGCAGACTTACCATTTTTAAATAAGACTTTTTTCACCTTGAGTCGAGTCAGATGTGTAGGCTGATTTTGACAGTTTTTTTCTCAAGCACTGAAACTCATACCATCTATGGTTGCCATTTCTTCCCAAGGCCAGTCTGAAGTTATTTGAGGTTGCTTTATCTTAAAAGCCTAACCTCAGGTTCCAAATTCAGTACTTTCTGGAAATAATGGAACTATAACTCGATGGTTCCTTATCACCCTTTTCCACTGGATTCATAACTTTTCTCCAGGCTCCCCAGCCCCCTCCCTTGTTCCCTGTCTCCCTTCACTCCCCTCATAAGCACTTCTCCTCTACAGCGAATAAGACAGCTCCGTTGTGGTAGCAAAGGATCCAGTTACTCTAGGGTTTTGCTCTTTGTGTGGTACAAAGAATGTGTTACGAATCTGTGCTCTCAGCCTTGCTGTCGTAACTTCTTCAACAGCAAATGCAATGTGTGCCCAAAGATGGTAGAATTAAAGAGTAAAATGGCTGGTGAAGCACTTTGCCTGGTTTTTCATTTTCTTTTTTTAACTACAACCCATTGCCTCTGACAGTAGGTCAGAATTTGAACCAGTAGCCAAAAGCTGGTGGTTTATAAAGTTTGAGTCAGTCGTATCAGGAGAAAGCAAGAACTTGGAGAAAGCTGGTACTTCGCTTGCTGAGCTCTGGGAGAACCAGCTGCCGAGAGAAGAGAGAAGGGGCCTCTGACAGCAGTGGGACCGCATGAGCTAATGTCCCATGGGCAGATGTTTAGGAGGGGATCCAAGTGACTCCTCAGGAACCTCACCATGGGTGTTTTGTGTTTTCCCTTCCAATTCACCTTTCGTTTCAATGTACCTTAGTATGAGTTGGGCCATGGAGTTCAGGCCCTGTGCGGTTCAGATGGAAGATGTGCATAAACAGGGCCGCCAGCCTGCGAGTACACAGCACCTGTTAGTGAAGCTTTGCTGGGGTGCAGCCCTTTTAGCATGGCCAGCCCTCGGCTGCAGCGATCAGACTAAGCATTTGTGAGAAATTTCGTTTCCCCCTGTGGCTGAAGAGGGGCCAGCTTTTCACCTGTTTCCTGCTGCTTTCTCTCCAGCCATCATTTGATCTGGTTTGGGGTTCTCCTTGGAGTGTAGAGTATTTGTTTTCTGTCATGGAATGTTTTCTTATAAGAAGCTAACTTTAGGAGTAATGTGCTGGTACTACCCTGTGTATAAAACCTGGCTCGTGCTAGACCGTGAGAACTGCAGGAAAAATAAGAGCTGTGCCAAGAAGGTGGGGCTTTTATAGTAGGTTCTCGCATCTCTTTTTTTCATTTAGCCACCCTTCCCCGAGAGTCTGTCTTTTTCTCCTCATGTATGTGACAGTGTGGGTATTATCTTCTGGAAGGATTCGCAATTCAGCAGCTACAACAAAGCCACCTGAACACCAGTTTGTGATGTGAAGCAGTCCTGAAGGGAGCCCTGATCTAGAGTGGTTGACTTGCACAAGGGTCCCAGTGTGCTGTGTCTTTCTGAAGGGTTTATCTCTGAAGAGGATATGTGGTCTGTGTGGTTGTGTTTAAGATTAAATCTGTCCTGTGTAGAAAGATTGCAATAGATCTGTCACTTTCTACAACATGGAACCACATCTCAGCATAGAGAACACATCTTATTTCTTTAAATCACCAGTCTCAGATGCAGAACTTTTCCTTTGAAACGTCTTCTTAGAAGAGTCTAATTCAGTTGTTTCTGAGATATCAAAATGCTAGTCCTGCACCATGAAAAATAGATTGTCACCAGAGAAGACAGTAGCAATTCCACTGGGAGGATGTGCCCTCACACAGGGCTAGAGGTGGCTGTGGAGGCAGGCAGAGCAAGTGACAAAGCATGACCAGCTCGGCCGACCTGTGTATAAAATGGGGGAGGGCAGTTGGAGGAAGGGTGACCGCTGATGTCTGGGCCTGATTTGCCTACAGAATAAAGAGTTTACATTCAGAATGTTGCCACAAACTAGCCTATGGGAAAAAAAAATTTGGAAGATTTGTAGAGTTTTCACTTGATCTTAGCCAAAAGGCCGAGAAGCGATTGTAGAGTCTTTTCAAAGTGTGTGGTCCTAGGATCACAGCTCTCACTGTAAATGACTAAATTTATAAGTGAACAATTTATTAATTTCACTGTAGAAGCAACAGCTAATAAAATCTGGATCTCCGTTTGTTAAACTGTCCCTTGGTTTTAAAAACCCTCCTTCCATAACAGATACCCAAACAAGTAACGTTTAGTACTTGCCCTTTACTTGGCCTCAAAAAAACCTTATACATGTGTTCTTGATAATAATTTGTAGAATGTGAGAGAGATGTGAAACCACCACATGAGATGTGAAACCACCACATAAGATCTTCCAGGGCCAGACGTCTCAAGGAAGTCTCTGATCCTGACCCCCAGTGCCTGCCTGGCCTTGCGTATTTGCCCGTTCGTGACCTAGCCCCAAAGAAAAAGAGCACAGAAACCACTGTGAAAAGTTTTGCTTGATGTCTTTTGTGTTCCTGGAGAGGTGCTGGAGTCTAAAGATGTAAAGATGAATAAGATACATCCTCAGAATGTAGCTGTAGTCTCTTGTTTTCCGGTATATACCATCTTAACTTAAACTTCTCCAAAATGCTGTATACTTTTCAATTACCCCTTTTCACAGTTACTGTTATTGAGGGCTTATAAAATTGATGTTGCAAAGGTGACTTGATTCTTCCGGAAGCCAGTCCTTTCAATAAAGTACTCCTTTTTCTCTAAAGTTTGCTTTTGGATAGTCTATAAAAACCGTCTGACCTGCCATCCTTCTCACCTCCAAGGGTGTCCTGAGCGCTGAGTTTGGCAAGAGACTTGAAAACTGGACATTCGGTTTTGCCCTGGAATGAAACAATATCATCATAAATTTGAGCCTAAAAGTGATCCTTGTGATCTTCTTGCCTCTTTAAACTTCCCAAAGACAGGAGATTAGGAACAAAGGTTTCAGCTCTTCACAACCCTCATTGAAATTGCAGAGCAGTGTCCCAACAAGTCCGTCCTCAAATTCACATCCCAAATCATCTGGATGGCATCGTCTCAAACAGTTCTCTCCTCGGACAGGAAACACCTCAGATTTGTGCGTTAAAAATCAGCCTGCTGCTGAAACGAACCCTTCTCCAATGTCAGAGCCATTTCCCAGGACCTCCGACAGCTTCGCATTGCCCTGCGGAAGTAGTTGGATCCACCCTGGGCCCTGGAATCTGGTGTTAGCACTTCAGCCTGGTCCCTGTAATAGGAAATATTTCCCAGAAAGCAGTTTTCTTTTTAAAATAAGTGTGTGTTGCAACAGGGTAGCTTCAGAGTCAACTGAGCAGATACAAGACTGTCACACTGACTGTGCATTTGGAGGTGCTGGATTCAGGTTTCAGCCGGATCATTTACCCTCACGTGTTCATTGTCTGGCTTTTGCTTCTACAGACACTGCTTTGTACATGATTCAGACAGACTGTGAATACATCTTTTTAAAATATCTTTCAAATTCTTGGTAAGATACAATTTTGATAGATGATTGCAGATTTCCCTGTATTTGTCAAATTAATAAAGACTGCATGAATCCAACTGTGCTAGTTTTCTTACGTGTAAGTATAATGTGTACCTGTGAGAATTGTTCGGCATTTATCAAGAAACAGTTTAGAAACACAAATGCGTTGTTTTCATCCTTCACTCATAATAAAGTGGCATGGATTACAGCAGACCACACCTCTGAAGGGTATGATATTAAGTCTGTTTATGAAATTGCAAAGCAACTATCCTTAATACTTAGTTTCTGAAAAATATTTTTTCTAGAAAATATCTCAAATTAATGTAAAGACTGTCAAAATTAGAACTTATAGGACATGTATGTTACACAGTACAGATATTTCAAGTGCTAGATGATTATCTTTTTAAAATTTTACTTTTTAATTTCTTAAAGTGGAGGTGCTGGGGATTGAACCCAGGACCTTGTGCATGGTAGGTGTGCACTCTACCACTGAGCTAAACCCACCCTCCTAGATGATTATCCTTTAAAAATTATGTAGATCCTATCACTCCATCCCCAAATCCTACAATATCTTTTGTTTCTAAACAGTGAAATTGCACACAGTGTTGGAATTGTTGATCAAAAATAAGTTTGTGGCAGAAAACCCAAAGTTGGCCCATTGTCTTCAGAAGGAACATAGGAGAGATGTGTTCCTGGGTATGCTGGCCAAGGGCATCAGGAAGCAGGGAAGGCATTCATTCCCTCCTTTGGGAATCAGAGGCATCGTTTGCTTTAATGAATCTTGTAGGCAGTGTTGCTAGAGTCTGCCACAGAAGCATCATGATTTGTTCTCATCAGCTGGGAGGGGTTTCTGATTCTTAGGGACCCTAACAGAGGTGCTCTTGATGGAAGAATGTCTTCGAGCAGATTGAGAAGCAGGAGTAAAGAGGCTGAATTTCCTACATCAGTAGGTAAGTACTGCAGCTCTTTGTAGCCCAGCCATTCTCTCTGGGGATTGTTCTGTGTGCCAAGCTAGGGGACCCTGCCCACCAACAGCTTAGTATCTGTTTAGAAGTGAAATGACAGCATGCTTGAGTACAAGCAAGACAGTGTAGACTCACTACGCGGTGTGGATGGGAAGGCAGAGTAAAGGAGGGATCTACAAAAGACAGGGTTTAAGAGCGGAGTTTTCTCCAGCAGCGTAAGGTTTGAAGCAAGCTTGGGAAGAAGAGAAGAGTCTGAACTGGCAAGAAGACAAAAGAGCATATGCTAAAAACAAAATGAAATATGTAGGAGACACCCAGGGGTAATTGGTTTTTGAATTAAAGTGATGATTTATTCAGAGGAAAACCTAATTTGCTAACTGAATCTGTTTCCATATTTACTTAGTCTATACCCTCTTCTTTAAATGACTTGGAGAAACCGTGGAGAATGATGACCTGACCTACCACGGGGGCCTTTCAACACTGGGCCTCTTGTTCTTGGCAAAGATTATCTTATGTGGGCTGGTCCTTCTGTGCCTGGTATGCCATGCCCTCTAAAGAGGGGAGATGGAAGAGCCCCAGAAACCAGGTTTGTGGGAGTCTTAATTCCTGGGAGAAAAGGTGACATACTCTTCTCTGTTTCTTTTTATTTTTCCCCTGAAGTTATTTTAATTACATAGTAACCCAAGGTCAATTCCTTATGCAAGAGAGGAAAGGCTTTTGTTATCCTTTCATCCATAGCACACCTCAAGGTGGATCACAGATAAAATTCTGTTTAGATTAGTTTTCTTGGGTAGCAGACCTAGTCGAGAACCACTAGACTCACATATAAGGATGATTTAAAAGTGAAAACAACACTGGGAGCTAGATAAATATATTTATACTATGCCTAAATAACTGAACTTAAGTGAGTTTTTTAAGGGCTGGTGCATCCTCTCCCGACGTGGTGATCACAGATGGACACGTAGTAGTCTCTCAGATATCTGCTGAGGAAACTGAGGAGAGGTTTTTGGGACTTTATCCTGCACTTAGATTTTTCAGAGGTTTTGTCCACTTGTTAGGAAACAACTTGTTTTTCTGCTTACTAACTGGATTTACCTACATCTGCTATAAAATAGCATAAATGTGTAGTGCGATGACTCAGTATTAGCTTGCTTAACCTTGATAGATGTGAAAGTGTGATTTCTTCAGTGTTTCTGAAATGTTGAAAATGACCTCCATGTCACCCTTGCTGTTTTGGAAATCTCCTTGTCAAATCTTGTTTCTGAGAGTCCTAACCCAGCTCCCCCCAGCCCTTTCTCTCCTGGTGAGGGGTCTTCTCTGGTCTGTGCGGCCAGACAGTGATCCAGTTTGAAAACGTCATCAGATGTGAGTGATGTAACACCCCAGTGGAGGGGAAAGGGCTCTTCTGTCCTGGGCAAGCTGCGCAGGGCTTGGGGGCACAGTCTGAGGACGCCAAGAGAGCGTCTGTTCTCACTCATTTCCTCAGTCCTATAAGGCAGGGCTGGGAGAGCTGGGCTAGACTTCATGCTGGTTCATGTGGCTGCTCTGACTCTCAGGCTACTTCATTAGGCATTTGGAAGTGAAGTCCGTGGCTGTTCATTAAGGGCCTTCAGCCTTTGTGGGAATCCTACAGTGCACGGGTTAATGTGCTGTTGATGGCGTCACCCATTTGACTGTCTGGTGATGTAGGTTCCGGCCATCTAAGCCAGGGCACCCTTTTTGTGTCAGATGGGCCCATGGCAATGGCCTCAGAGCAGCCCACCCTCCGGAGAGACAGGGTCCTCTCCCTGCCCCTGTCCACATGCAGCAAGTTATCCTTTGGGGATCTCTTTCTACCCAGCAAAGATTAGAAGTCCCCCTTTGTCCACTTGCACAATAGATCAATTCATGACTTAAATAAGTAAATAATAAAGTCATAGACTTGTTACAAGTGATTATGCAACTTTTGTCATTAAAGAAATGATTTACCAAGGCACTCCAAGCATTTGATAATTGCTGCATGAATTGACTTTTGTTTTTAAGTCAAATGCACTGGTGAACATTTTTTATGAGGAGATTTGGGTGATCTGACCCAGAGAGAGCCTGTGCCAGATGGAGCTCACCAGAGACCAGGCCTGGGAGCTACCACCGCTCTGCCAGGCTGGGCCGACGTGGACGGCCAGTAGCACTATGGGCTCCTGCCCCATCCGTCCTGGGGACTTGGAAGGCCCTGCCTCTCTCTTCCTGGCAGTGCTCCAGCCTTCCGGCAGGCGAAGGCTGGCCACCCCCTTAGAGGGCCCCTGCCCCTGGGGCTGGAGACAAGTCTGGCCCCATCTCCCCACCGGGAACGCAGCCAACCCAGCTGTTTCCTGCAGCCCCTCCCTGATCACCCCACCTCTGCAGTTTCTCACGAGACAAGCCCCTTCTTCCCAGACGATGTTGCCCCAGGATTCTGTCTCTGGCTGGCAGAGGGCCGAGGACCTGCTTCTTCCCTCAATTTACCTGAGGTGTGGCATCCCACCGGCTCCCTGCACCCTCTTTGACACACTCCTTTGTTATTCTCAGAGAAAACAACCCTTGTCTGCAGACTGGCTCTCTGGACAGGGAAGCTGGCAGAGGAAACTGTCTAGCTCATCCTGGTGCCTCTGAGCCAGATGAGGGAAGCCAGTGTGGGCACCTTCACACAGACCACGGAGGTGTGCCTTCTGTCTGGCCACCCAACTGCCCAAAACCTCCTGCTCCCCAATGTGTGGGGACCAGCCCAGCCTGAGCGGTAAGAGGGAGCTGGGTGCATGCAGCCACCCACCCCGGGGCTCCTGGGAATTGCTCAATAAGTGTTTAGTGAATAAATGAAGTCATGGGTGGATTAGGGGTCCCCGGGAGGGGATTTCCGTGCAGGATGACATAAACAGGGCACATGTGTGGGAATGTGTTTTAAGTAAGAACAAATATTAACCAGTTTTGCCCTTGTTTACAGGGTTTTGCTGGAGACTCTGGAGGCTGAAGTCAATTGGCCTTATCCACTTAAGAGACCCAGTATTTATAAACAAGTGGTCCAGGTTGAATCCAAACAGGATTCCTCCCCTAGAGCACATTTGTGACATCTTGAGAGACATATGGGTTTGTCCCCATTCAAAGTCACCACGTTGAGTGCAGGAGGAATAAAGGATAGTGCAGTTCTTAATACTTCTACTTACCCCTCATTTAACCAAGAAAAGCCCCGGAGAAACGTACTTGCCCCATAAAACCACTGTCCATTGAGCATTTGTTATCAACGTGTCCAGACCCTATGCTGAGCCCATCACAAGCACTGTCTCAGGTCATCCTCCTCCAGCCTGTGAGTAGGATTATCCCCATTTTACAGGTGAAAAAATGGAGGCTTTGAGAAGATGAGTAACAGTCCCAGACACACACAGCAACAAAAGCAGAAGAGGCTGCCCCAGCCCTGAGAAGTCTGACTGGTTAGCCGGAGCCGGTGCGGCTTGCCTCCAGGACAGAGGGGTGCTGTGAATGGAACCACCTCTCTGGGCCTCTGGTTTCTCTTCTGTAAAATACAGACAACATTTCTCCAGTGTGCTAACTAAAGCTGCTCAAACAACAGGGGAACATGAGAGACCCTGAGGGTCTGGGACACAGCCCAAAGTGGCAGCCACAGGCAGAAATGTCTCCAGAGTTTTAAGAAAACAAAAGTTTTAATTTTATTTCATAGTGCATGTTGTTTTATTCTGATAAAATACACATTACATAAAATTTACCATCTTAATCATTTTAAAATGTACAGTTCAGTGGTATCAGTACATTCATAATGTTGTGCAACCATCATCACCATCCACCTCCAGGACTTTTTTTTTATCTTGCGAAACTGAAACTCTGTGCCCATTAAACACTAGCTCCTCATTCCTTCTCCCCCAGCCTCTGGTGACCACCATTCTGATTTCTGTCTCTCTGAATTGTCTGCTCTAGGTACCTCATATAAGTAGAATCATACAGTATTTGTCTTTCTGTGTCTGGCTTGTTTCACTTAACACCATGTTCTCAAGGTTTATCCATGTTGTAAGTCTGTATGTCTGTTTTAATAGAAAAGTAACCACAGCATCATTTGTCTTTAAGTGGAATTATACTCTAAGATAGGGGTCTGGGATGATGGGTCTGAAATTTACTGGTTAGAGCAGCACCACAAAAAAAGACGAAAAGTTAGTGTTGGAAAGTCTGTTTCTGAATTGCAAGGTGCTGGTCTTCTGACTTTCTAGGTGAAGTTTCCAGGTCTTTGCCACAGGCATAGACACCTCTCAGTTTCTGGGCTGAGAGTCATCCAAATACAGAGGCTGAAGCAGCAGAGGAGATGAGAAATGCCCTGGGAGAGTGATGGAGGCACCAAGAAGAGAGGACTGCAGGAGACTTGGCTGCCGGCCTCTGGGGGTCCCACTCCGGGACCCCTTCCTGGCAGCCCACAGGGACAGCAGCTGCAGAGCAGCAGATGCCAAGCCAGATGTCAGGACCTGCAACAAGAGGGTAACACCTTGCCCTCTCTCTGCAACAACCGAGGCACCGAGGCCACCCTGTTCAGCCACAGGACACCAGGTATGCTCTGGAGGCCAGGCTGTCCACGCTGGGCTGAGAAGGACCCTCCAGCCTGTGCTCTACGGGCAGGTCCCACACCCCACACTGGCCTTTGTGGGGGCCTGGGCCTGAGCCCCTCCCACTTAAGAAGTGGAGAGTGGGTGAAGGGGGCGCTCCACACACCAGCTCCCTTAATGTCTCCAGGAGTTCAGGCTGTTGGCTTCTCCAGAGAAGACTGTAGCCCAGATCCTTGTAGTGTGTGGTGTGTCCATGTGGAAGGAAGGGGATGAGCTCTCTAAGGCTCGAGCCGCTGGGTGGAAGCCAATCAGGACAGGATTTCCAGAAAACCCCTTCTTTTGCCATTTCTGATGCTCTCCTGTCTCTGGCCTCCTGCCCCAGGGCAGTGTCCTGCCCACACCCACGTTCCTCGTGGCCTCACCCTCCTCCTGGGGCCGTATCCCAAGATCTGGATTCAGGCCCCAGGTCACTGAACGACATCCCAGGAATTCTGTTCTTTCCCTCTGGAGGGCCCTTGTGTCTGTGGGAAGGGTCGAGGAAACTGTATTTCTGTCCCAGCTTTGGGGATAAAACTCCCCTCCAAAGTCCATACACTCCCATACAGGTGGTGTATGACAGCCTCTCATCAGCCACACTGAGCTTTGCACGTCTCACTCCTGCAGTCACGTTTGGTGTTTCAAGGTCCTGACTTGAATATGGCAGCAGCAAAGGGAGGAAGGAGGATTGGTATGGGGGGTGGGGGTTGCAGACTGACACTGAGAGAACACTCTCCTCCCAGCAGCCCCCTGCCCGCCCCCCACACTTTGAAAGACTATATCAAGGGAAATGGATATATGTGTTGGAGGGTAAGGAGGCAGTAGAGAGATAAATGGAGAAATCCTCAAATGTGAAGTGCTCTTTTTTCCTTTTGGATTCAGCTGTAGCATAGGTTGGAAATTTATTGTGGAAATACTTGAATATCCAGGTTGTAAGATTTGTTTTATTCTAAATTAACACACACAAGGGAAGAATGCAGTGCCCTACTAGAAAGTAAACTCCCCAAGCGCGGACGATCTATGTGTTGGAGCCCACAGCTTGCGAGAGATGACTGCACAACTCTGTGGTTAGTGACATTACCTCGGTAGCTTGAAAACAGCCTTAGTAGTTACATGTCCCTCTGAGGTGGTGGGACATGAGGCTTGAAGACAAGTGCCTGACCTGGGCAGTGACTGCTGGAGCCTGGCTGGTGGGTCCCAGCGACATTGTGTGAGTTCTGCCTCCCCAACCTCTGGGTCTCCTTTGCATTTGGGGTGAGAAGTAAGGAATTATGGGCCTGGGTGTCTGAGAAGAAGGGATCATGGAGGAAAAATAGGAGCAGACCAGGAAGGTGCCTTGGCTGCCCACCCCCCACGGCAGGAGAGGCAGCTGCCTCCCACTTCACGGGGACCTTTGACCAAGCTCAGAAAACTCCTGGCTGATGGGGGAAGGGAGTAGGGTTTTTGAATGGAAGCAACTATTTTCCTTTTCTAGACAAGCTTTGGGTAATTCCATTCCCTTTTCTCTGCCAAACTTTATCTTTGCCTAAGAACTCACACAACTTCCCAGGGGCCCCTGCTACACAGCTGCTGCTTCTCCTCTCTTCACTGATAGGTAAGAAATGGGCCAGATTTAACATGTTTATGTTTTAATAAGCATTTTGTTTGAGCATCAGTGATGGCCCAGGGAGATGTGCTGCAGGAGCTGGAGGTCAATATAGGGGGTGAGCTCCCCATGGTGACTTTTCTCTGCCCCAAAGGAGGCCAGGGGGAAAATGCCAAATGGCCAGGCTAGGAAAGGGGCTTGAGGCAGAAGAGGATGGGGGCAAGGGACCAGCCTTGTGATCTCCCTACCTCCCATGTGCCCCAGGGCCAGTGCTCTTTTTCTGGAAAGAAGTGATTTCCAGTTCCAAAAAAGAGATGGCAGGCAAGGTTGGAGAAAAGAAGGCCAACTAGGAAAGGAAATTAATTTTATCCCATTTATTGAGTTCCTGCCTTGATCCCAACTAGTGCTTTAGACACAGGAGATAGGGATGCAAGCTTTACCCTCAGGGACCTCACTGCTAAGTTAGGGAGACTCCAGTTCCCACAGGGTGATGCATCATAGAACTACAGCAGACAGAGGTGGAGACTCAGGGAGCAGGGAGCCACCAACTTTGCCTGGGGTGGTGTGAGGAAAGCTTCTAGAGGTGAGTTTGACCAGGGTCTTGAGGGATGAGTAGGAGTTTGCAAGGGAGAGGGGGTTTCCAGAGTTCATTTTAGGCAGTGGTAAAAGGTGGCTGGGAGGTGGGAAACAGCAGCATGTGTGTGGAGCAACTCATTTGTGGCCCAATCATAGAATACAGGGGTAGAAGACAAGCAGGTAGCTGGACGCAGGGATGTGTAGGAGGGATGGCACAGAACTGGAAGGCTCGGGCGCAGAAGAAATGGGGCTGGTGCCAGCACAGAGTGGAGGGCAAGCCAAGCCTTGGCACAGAGCCAAAGGAATGGAGGCCCTGGGCATCGCTAGTCACCAGGGATGGATGTCAGCAGGGCTGGGTGTGGGGGAGATGGGGCGGGAAGGAAGACAGACAGCGGCGGGGAGAGAAAGTCCAACCTCCGCAGATGTTCCGGGTGGCCGGGCTGACCTCCTAGGCTTAGGCTGGGACGGACACCGACGGAGCGGCCCTACTGGCCCTGCGCGCCCAGGACTCCCGGAGACAGGTAGGAGGTAGAAGAATAGGAACGTTGGCGCGGGCGGCTCACCCCCAGGCTGCTGCAGGAATTCGCCCCGCCGGGCTCGCGGGGAGAGCGGCGTCGAAGGAAGTGGGAGCCCGG